TTCCTTCTAGTTTGCGCCCGGTAAAGCGTGTGCCTTTTTGGGCTATATGGAGGTTCCACTTTCCTTCCGGCTAGCCACCGATACAGCATGGCACTTTGAGATAGGTTCCAGTTTCCTTTCGGTTCATGCTCAATAAATTGTGTTGTGATGGTTACGCTTCGAATGAGATGTTCCAATTTCCTTCTAGCTAGTGCCTGGTAAAGTAGTTTATGCTTCTAATGATGGGTTCTAAGTTCCCTCCAGCTAGTACTTGGTAAAGTGGTAGTATGTGGCTTGACGAAGCTAGGTTGTGTGATGTGATATTTCTGTTGTTGTGGGTGCCTTTTTTGCCCCTGTGCTTATGGCCAAAAAACATGGGAGATGTTTTATGGAATATAGTGAATTGGATTTGTAGATGATTAACGTGTAATTGCGTTAGTGTTGTAATATGTTGGAGTTATAACTTGTGTATTATATTGATAGGTGACTGTGAGATCTTAGTAATAACTTGAACATTTAGATTGCTAATTGTGTGAAAGTTCCTTGACTTAATTGAATAGAACGATAACAAAATTGATTGTCGTGGACTAGTTTTCGAAAATAAACAAAGTAGAGGAAATTGTTTTGAATTATTAATGAGCAATCGCAAAGATAAGAAATGAGTTTCTTGAAATGCAAAGAAGAACTTTTGGAAAAATATATACTTATGTATGTATATTTTGCTTGTAAAAGAGAACACTACCTATATATTTACAATTGTAGCATTCATACTCATATATATATCTATAGGATGCTATTGCTTAGAATCATTGGATTCCCACTGGACTGTATATATGTTTTTCCCACGTTATTGAATATTTTACATGTGCAGGCTTGAGAGAGTTCTTTGGAGTAGAGATCTTCTTTATTGTTGGCCGCGAGACCTTTTATTTGTAGGCGTAATGATAATGTCTTGTAGAGAGGGTTAATCCCTTCTATTTTATTTTATTTGTTGTATATTCATCAATGTAAGTTTAAGGATATTGTAATTGATTGTATCTGAACATTTCACCTTGTATAATCAAGAGAGATAACATCATCTGTTTTATTTATTTTATCTTGTTTTTACATTTGTTATTATGGAAATGGACTTTAATAATAAATAAAAAAAATTGATAATATTATTCGGGTAATAAAACTTGGAGTGTTACAGGGAGAAACTCTCCAGCGCCCCCCTTTAGGTCTGAAAACAACCCATGGTTTGATTAATATTTGAAGTACCGTGCTCTTTTCTTAGAGGTGGTTTGACAACTTAAAAGTTAAGGTGGCATTCAATGCATTGTGCCGCATGTTGTTTTATTTTTATGACGTTGTTAGACTATGTTTTCTCAAACGCCACTAATTCCTAACGTTGACTACATAATCTGACAACATCTGTGTTGTTTTGATCCCTTTATATATATATATATATATATAAAACATAATAAAACTGGATTCAAATTAAACATAACAGGAGTCTCCATTTTCAAAATATATGCCATTATCATTCTCAAATGATAAAATATAAACCATAATGAGTCTCCATGTACATTTTTCCATAAGAAAATTTATAATAAGAAATCTCAGAGTATTCATCATAAGCGATAATCAATCAGAATTTTCATTTTCTGATAGCAGCAAGTCTGAATCCATCAGCATGCAACAAATCCCTTAAGAGTAGTTTAATACACAAAAATTGTCGAGCTCCCTGAAGGCAGTTGGTATTGCCAGCACTGCACTTGTAGGATTTGTGGTGATCTTGTTAAAGATAAAGAGCCTTTCAAATCACCTGGTGCATTCAAGTGTTCACAGTGCGAGCATAAGTGTAATTTTATATCCCCTAACTCATAGTAGATTATTTGAATCTAAATATGTTTTGGATGCCTATAGATAGCTTCAAAATATTTAGTAGGATTATTTTCATTGTATCAAAAAAAAAAAAAAAAAGGGACAAACAAAAAAAAGTTAAATGGAACTCTTTATCAAGCTTACCAACAATGAAATAATAACTAAACAAAGAATTGATAGTCCTGTAGGATAGCTGATACAATATATCAAGATTTTGAAGTGAAAAAATAAACTTTTAATTGTTGTTTCAGAGTATATAAAACCTCCACTCAGTGTAGCATATACAGATACATCCCTAGTTGAGCTGAATTTCACCCTTTTTTAAGTTTCAAAACAAAAGCCATGAGTTGAATTTATGTTGCCAAACACATCCAAAACTTTCAGACTATTAAACCAAGTTCATTTCTTCAGCCCAAAAAACATACACTCGTAGGAAATATCCAAATCCAACCAAATAGAACCCTTGAAACTGAACACTATGAGAAAATTGAAGTATACCTCATCAAATCCATTGAATTTTTTTACAGGATAGTGCATAAGAATCCAAGGGCCTTCTTGGACCTTCTACTACTTGTACGAAGAACTGAGGATGGTCTTGAGTTTGACTTCAAATGGCTCAAATTCGAGCCCAATGATTTTAATTAAAAGTAGAATGTAAACATTCATATTCAATACCAGCAAAACTAAACTACATAACAAGGGGGGAAAAATTGCAAAATCATATGAAAGCATAAAGACAATCTTCTCCAGATTAAAATCTAAAAAGATATAATATTGTCTTCCAATGATTGCAAAATTTCTCACCTACATAGCCACAGCTATGGCATGGACCCTTAGCCCATGTTTGTTTGGGCGGACTGGATTAGCATTCCTATGACTAATAGTCCTAGGATTACAAATCCGTTGGATTATGTATCCTATCTTAACTAATAGTCAAGTTTAAAATAATTAGTCCATACTTCAATTGTTTAACTAAACATCGGATTAATAATTTTATTGGACTATTAGTCCAATCCCAAGCTTATATCCACCCAAACAAACATGGCCTTAGTTTATAATTTCTTTTCATACATTACTCCAAAACAAGAACCAGACAATTAGTAAAACAGATTCATGCTTCTGGTAGTAACTGATCTCGTTTCATATAGGCTCTGATTTTTTTTTTAAATATATATTTTTTGCAAGGTTGTTTGAATTGTCATAATATTCATGCTTTGTTTTTTTTTTCCTTTTCTATTTTTTGTGTAATCAAACTTGACATTCTTCACTCTAAATAAGTCCAACTATATATGTAATGCATGTAATGACATCAAAACAAAAAGCGAAAATACTAGTAAACTCATCTCTGGATGGTCAGATCCATCCTCTTCTAAATACTTCTCGACACATTCTAAAATTACCCATATGAAATTTTTTAACAGGACCTTTAAAAAGTAAACAAAAGCTTATAATGAAAGTAGTTGTAAATACTTCTTGACACATTCTAAAATTACCAAAATGAAATTTTTTAACAGGACCTTTGAAAAGTAAACAAAATCTTATAATGAAAGTAGTTGTCAAAGTAGTTTACCTTCAACTGAATCAGCCACTACATTAAAGCTCCTAACTAGCTCCTTGGGTAACAGCTCTACAACCCATACAGGAAAAATGAACACATTCACTAGAATTGCAACAATCCCTCCAATGGCAATGGAGTAGAGCTGGTCCAATAACTGAGTGGAAATGAAAGTGAAGAGAGAAGGAAGAACACAGGCATAGAGAGAGAATTTGAGTCGGATTTTTCAAAACCCTAACCATTTATGAGAGTTGGTAGCTGAAAAAACACGCGACCTATACATATAGCTGAAATAAAATATAATTTTAATTAGGTGACCACGCGGCACGTCTTTCCGATTATTTTGTAAGAATACATGCTTTTTTTTTTTTTTTTGGAAAAATGATGTCTAATGTGTAGCGCTTTCCAAAATGCCGGTATAAATATGCCACCATATCTAACTTTTCTTGTAGTGTGGCTACCATCACCACCACCAAATATCCCATCAAGCAAAAACGCCTCATCTCCCTTGGAATATTTAACATCAAGCAAAAATACAGGCAAAGTCAAATTTAAGATAAACAAAACACAGCATGTAACATATACCGTATTGCTCAGAAATGGAAAACAAAAACAAGTAAATATCAATGTTACAGCGTTTATTAAGTGGAGTGGTTGTTACCAAAATCAATAGCATGAGACCAATCAAAGACTACGTCAAATGCACTAAAAAAAAAACTAAAGATTTTTAAAAAATTAAATTCAATGGGCATGCAGCAATTCACGTGTTTGAAATCACTCCAAACATTACAGTTGGTTATATCCACCTAATAGCTATTTGATGTAATATAGCAGTATATATAGGTGATACATGTGTAGCTCTGATGGCTCCTCCCGACTTGTCAATGGCCAAGGCCCTCTTCAGCCCACTCCATCCTTCTCCTTACCCTCTAGTCTTCATGTTAACTCTTTTCCCTTTAATTTGCTTGTTGTTAGTCAATTAACTAAAGTTCTCAATTGTTTTGTAACCTTTTCTCCCTTTTCATGTGTTTACAAGACCTCTTAAACCAAGAAAATGATTGGTTTGGGCCATGAGAAGGATGACTTACATTTTTTGGACACTGCTAGTTCTCATTCTTCTAGTTCTGCTGTTTGGATTTCTCCCTTACAATGGCATTTCTGTCTGGGTCATCCATCCTTGGCCAAGCTTAAATTAGTTATTCCTGGTTTAAATCATGTGTCTCAGCCTCCAACAAACTGTGTTGCTAAGCAGAAACACTGTCATTTGCTAGATGTTGCCCGGACCTTAATGTTTAACATGCATGTTCTCAAACAGTTTTGTGGTGATGTTGTGCTTACTGCTTGTTCCCTTAATAACTACATGCCCTCCACCATTTTATAGAACCGGTCTCCCTTCTCTCAGTTATATTCCAATTGTTTCCCATTTTCTCTTTCTCGTGTTTTTGGTTTTGTTGCCTTTATCCATGTCCTTAATGCGGGGCTAGATAAGCTATCTCCCTATGCTCGCAAATGTGTTTTTTTAGGTTACTCCCGCACACAGAAAGGTTATCGATGGTATCATCCCGATTCTCGTCGGTTCTTTGTTAGTGTCGATGATACCCTTTTGAGTCTTTTTTTTTTTTTTTTGTCATTTCGTCAGCGGTTGTCGAATGATCTTATCTGTTGTCGTGAGAAGAAGCCCTTTTTTTCCCACTCCTACTCTTCCAGTACCCTTTGTTCCCCTGTCCTCTTCCATCGGTTTAGAGTATTCTCTGTTATCTCCTCTATAGGTTTATCAGTGGTCCAAAGCTCATTGCGTGGTTTCTTATGGCCCGACTATTTCATCTTCTTTATCTGAGGTTCGTGCCCCTTCTCTACGTGTGCCATCTGATGATGATTTATCTATTGCATTGCGCCGAGGTAAACATGCTTGTACTTAGCATCTTATTTCTCATTTTGTTTCTTATACTAGTATTTCCCCTAATTTTTACTCATTTGCCTGTAGCTTGTCATGTCTTTCCATTATTTCCTTGTCGGGTTGGAAACATGCTATGGATGAGGAGATGAGTGTTCTTCATCAAATCAGACTTGAGGAACTTACACCTCTTCTTTCTGGGAAACCTATTGGTGGTTGTCGTTGAATTTATACTTTCAAGTATCTTCCTGATGGTACTGTTGAGCGACTTAAAGCCCGTCTAGTGGCCAAAGGTTATACTCAAACCTATGGCATTGATTATCTGGAGACCTTCTCCCCTGTGGCTCGACTTAATTTTATTTGGATTCTACTCTTTGTTTCTGTCAGCCAGTCTTGCCCTTTATATTAGCTTGATATAAAGAATTTCTTTCTTTATGGAGATCTCAACGAGGTCTATATGGATCAGCCCTTTGGCTATATTGTTCCTAGCAGAGAGCATATGGTTTGTTGGTTAAGGAAGGCTTTGTATGGTCTTAAGCAATCTCCTCTTCGTTGGTCTAATCGTTTTAGTACCGTTGTCCTTGCATATGGGTTCCACCGTTTCACTTTTGATCACTCTGTTTTTGTTCGCAACTCATCTATATTGGGGTTAATGTTCTCATTGTCTATGTAGACGATATCATCATCTCTAGCAATGACTCCATTGGTATTGTTGATCTATAGCTTTATTTGGGAAAACAATTTCCCACAAAGGACTTGGGTCATCAGCGGTATTTTCTTGGGATTGAGATTGCTTGATCCTCTCGGGGTTTATTTCTTTCTCAACGCAAGTATGTTCTTGATCTTCTTTCTAAGACTGGTCTCCTGGGCACTCATTTGAGTGATAATCCTATGGACTCTCAGTTAAACTTGATGGTGAGACTAGACAGTAGTTTCTAGATACTGGTTCATATCGTCGTTTAGTTGGGAAGTTGATTTATCTTACTGTCACTCGTTCAGGTACTACTTATGCTATGAGTATTGCTAGCCAATTTATGCATGCTCCTCGTCAAACCCATTTTGATGTTGTATGTCGTATCTTGCGTTATCTCAAATGTGCTCCAGGTTATGGTTTACTCTATTATCCTTCTTCTTCCTTGTTTGTAATTGGCTTTAGTGATGCTGATTGGGCCGGCACTCGTCGTTTTGCACCTAGATATTGCACCTTTATTAGGGGTAATCTTGTTACTTGGTTTAGCAAGAAACAACCAGTTGTTACTTGTTCGAGTGCTGAGACTGAGTATGGTGTCATGGCTCATACTGTCTCCAAGATGTTATGGGTTTGTTCTCTTTTGCAGGATTTCGGTATTCGTGTTCCCACTCTTATGAGCATGTGCTGTGAAAAATAATCAAGTCACTATTTTCATTGCTAATAACCCCGTGTTTCATGAGCATACAAAGCATATTAAGGTCGATTGTCATTTCATCTGGGATTTGTCGTTGCATATGCAACTTGTGACACCAAATGTTTACTTTGATGATCAATTGGGTGATATACTCACCAAATCCCTTGCTCGTTCTTCATTTTAGTCTCTATGCCATGTTGGACATATTCGATCTTTATGCTCCAGCTTAAGAGGGAGTGTTAGAATATGTAGTCATATGTTATTTTTTTTGTGTGGAGTAAGAGTATTATGGTCATTTGGTTATATTGTATCTCATATAAATATTTGCTGATGGTTTAAGTTTATTATACAAGCCTAAAACATACGTTTAATAAACTTCTTCTCCTTGTTCTTCTCTCCTTCTTTCTAACCCTAATCTAAGTTTTCCATACTTTTGCACTTTAACTATGGACTAAAATACTTATGAGTCTTGTACACTTCTCCATACTCTCCCATCTCTGTAGCAAAACAAAAAAATGACCCCAAAAAAAGAAGAAAGAAGAGTAAATTCTATCACAGCATCAACTGTTAAATATGAAGAGAAAAGAAATTTTGTCATTATACATACAAAAAGCCTTCTTCATTCTATAACTCTCTTAGTAAAAACATAAGATACTTACCATTATGTATCTCTCTTTTTTCAAAAAAAAAAAAAAGGGAAAAAAAAAAGAAACGCTCACGTAAATAAAAAGAATGTTGGAGAAGTATTATTCACAAAACCAACCACAAAAACTTTGCAACACATGATTCTATAGTAAGTTTTGTAGCCGATTCTGTGTGTAATGTTACATCAACAATCAATTCTAAAAATACAAATTGTATATATTAGCAAAATTTGAATACAAAAACTTAATTACTAATTTTGCATCCTAAAAAGTCAAAAAAAAAATAAATAAATTATACAGACAACTACAATGTAAAAATTTGTAATTGTCTAAGTTTGGCGTAGGCAGTTAGGAAACCAATCACATATCAATAAAGAATCACTATGAGGATTGATAAAAATTAAAGCAGCTCAACAACTAACATTAGTAAGATAAACAAAGCCCCATTTGCTAGAGCTAAAATGGTTCCAACTTTCAAGACAAATTGATTTCCTTTGCTCTTATTTCTCAAAGAATTAAGATATGAAAAGACCTAGAAGAGACTAGACATTCAAAATAAACTCTCTGTTTTCAGATTATGAAAATTGAAAACAAAACCAAACTGAGTATCAGACCTTCCTTCATTTATTGAATTTTAAGATGTAGACCAAGTAATAATTTATTCCCATGGTATGTAGGGGGTTGCATCAGCATGTTTAGACTTTAGATAGTGCCAGGAAAAGTTTGATGATCTATTCTGACATTTTCACATTGTCATTAGTTGACGATTCCTTCTGATTATGTTTTATTAAATTCTAGTTTGGGACTCTAATATATTAGATTGAGAAGTGGTTAAAATGGTGAAAACTGATATGTCAAGAAAATACATATCTACAATTTACAATTATGACTAACCCCATCTAAATCGATGTTTTGGTTTTGTGCCATTACAGTAGTATGCAATTAACAGACACCAATGCTGCAAGGTCTAATATAGACTTGGCTTTCCAACTGACATGAAAATAAAAGTAACATACAATTATATTTGCAGAGTTGTAATAGTATAGAATTACAAAGATCACCTCAAGTCTTCAGTTCCAGTGGATCTAGGAGCTCATACACTTTCGCATGGCCATTTGAATATGCAGCAACCTGTAAGGAAGTCAAAGAAAACACCATAGCAAAATATGACATCATCAAAATCACAATTCACAATTCCTTGTTGTACTATGTTTCCGTAGAGCAATACATCTAAAAAAATAATAAAATAAAAACTGACAGCATAATATAGAAACTTGAAAAACCCAAAGCTATTTAGAGCAGGAAAGGGGGCTATTACAAATTAATTCAAAAATAACCACATTTCAATTGACAAGGGCTAGCAAACTTGTTTCCTATATCAAATATGCAGTTCTAAACAATTAAGTGAAGAAAAACTAAGGTGATACCCATTGCCAATACCTACCAACTTCAAACTTGTGAGGGAGACTCCAAATTGCATATCTAACACCTGATTTGAACTTTTCTCAAAGCCTTTGCAAAGCTTCTAGTGAGGGGGTTTTGTATCCAGAGAATGACAAAAAATGTACAAAACAACAATGAGGCTTTGTTCAAAGGTCACAAAATGGGGGGCTCTGCAGCATTCTAAAGATTGAGTATTACTTTTCTAATTATGAAAAAGGAAAATGACACACAAAATTTTTTTTACAGAGAAAATCCATCAAAAATGATGAGGCGGTGGCATTTTTTTTAATTATGGACTGCAATGAGGGGTTTTGGCTTGAAATGAAAGGACCGCAAAAAACCTATGAAAACTCCGCATAAAAATTATGTTTGTATAGAATTACTCTATTAGGAAAAAAGATAAAAATTCTGTATAAAAATTATTCCTTCTCATTTACGCTTCATTTGATCAATAACCTCACAGGAAAACAAAGACCTACCCGGTGTCAGACAATTTGCAGATATGTATGCCAAAGTTGTTTTGGAGCCACATTATATCATGATCTGCTCCATATATGACCTGATAAGCGGAAGTATCATCACAATAAGCAAATTTATCATAATCTCAGAGATGTATCACAGAAAACCCCTTCAGAGCAATCTACAGCCCTAACCAATGAAGAACATAGCCCTAGGTGGGAGAAGAAAAGGATCAAATTGAGTCCAAAAAACAATATAATTTCCAGAGCACTGCTCAAGATTTCTTGTAAAAAAAAAGTATTAAGATTGAACATACAGAGATTGAAAACAAAAACATAAAAGAGTCAATTACCATTAAATAGGTCAGGAGCTGAATTGCACTCAATCTTCCAAAATAAAAAAATAAAAAACAAAAAATGCACAATCCATTTTCTAAATTTCATCTCTTATTAATCTTTAAATAAAATTTTAAAAAAAAACTTTGAATTATTATGAGGATGTTTGCCCTCAAAAACATTTAATAATTTTTACATTCTTTTACATTTAAGCACACCCACAAACAAGTTGAGCTTGTTCAACTTGATTAAATAGTGCTAGTGACTGGTTTGCTCATTTCCATTCACAATTGGATAATTTAAAAGGGTTTGATTTCTGTATAAAGAACATACCCAACTATTGGAGATAACATCCATCCAGTATATGACCTTTAATATACCACCCACAAAACAAGGACAGCTGCTAAAAAAAAAATAAAAAAATAAAAAAATAATTTTTTTTGTTACATAAAACAGTTGAAGAACATAGGACCTTTAATATTGAGCTAAGATAAAGCAGAGCATAGATTAAATGATAGGCATCAATATTTCAAATAAAATAAAAAAGCAACGGACCACACATGCCTCACTACACACCTCAGAGAAAAGCAACGGACCACACCTAGCATCTCATGCAAATCTGAAACTATGTGATTTGATAGAGTTGTATCTTCAGATCTGCATTACAAATTTCAAACAGAAACTTCAGATCTCCAATATAAGTTCCAAAAGTAAAACCTAGAGGAGAGAAAGAGAGAGAATCCATACCTTCAAAATCTAGGGTTTTCAGAAGTAAAAGAGAGACGAAAAGAGATTGAAATATTGTGAGATTTGATTTCGTTGAACTTCAGATCTGCAATACTAACTTCAGATCTGAATTATAAGTTTTAAATTAAAAACAACGGATCTGCAATACAAATTTGGAATGCAAAAAATTTGAAAGTAAAATCGCAAGAGTCCTAACCATAAACACTATATTAAACACCTTCGACAACATTAAATGAACTCTGATACGCATTGCATAAATGTTGTCGAAGGTGTTTAATATAGTGATTATTTAACCAATGCCTTCTAACATGCTACACTTTGAAAAACACCACAACAAAAACGCTGGTGTACCCAACATTTCTTGTAGTAAGTGGAACACCAAATATACAACTGAGATATAACCATTACTACCAAATGAGTGTGCCATGCATAGGAAAGACCAAAAAAGATGTATATAGTTAGTAGGTAGGAGTTCAATGTTCTTTAATTAATAGGAACATGGCCTTTTGTCTTTATTATTGTTATTTGTTTTTTTTTTATCAGCACATGGCCTTTTGATGTATTGAAAACTAAACAGGTTTCTTCGTGTGCCATTTGTTGGCATGAAATAGTGGAGGAAGCACACTATGGATCTTGTGTTAAATGATCCCTTCATCTGAAGGCCAATCATTTTACAATAATGTTGTAATAGCATCATTAAGAACATTTTTTCTATTAAGGTCAATGATAGGAAGACTAAGGTTGTTCTCACAAAACTTCATAGACAAACAATCTCCACAAAACTGCCCTTGGACCATGCCACACTTGCTGCAGTGTGTACAATTAATACAACAAGTACATGAACAAACCAAGATAATAACAATTTGTTAACAACCAATGGGAGGTTAACTGTTCACATTTTTCATTTGCTCATGAATCTTATTTCTCTTATATTGGTCTAAGGTTTTTGTCTCCAAGTTTATTATTACTAATATTTCTGATTTTTAAGTTATATTTTCAAATTTTTCCTGTAGCTAAGAGAAGGTATGAAACAAATAATAATAAACTCGGCCAGGATTTGAAGCTCTGGAGAAAGCTGGGAATGAGTCGGCCATCAGTCAGGTTAACATGTGGCAGTTGCTGTTCTCTGCCTTTTAAGTCTTAACCAAGATAGGCTTATCTTTTAAGCTTACTAATATAATGTTATTGCACACACAACCATGGCTTATATAACAGTTACAACAATCAGTGTAATGCAGAAATATTTAATCTCAAACCAAATAGAGCTCCTCTACAGGAATTTTTGGGAAATCCATTTAGCGATATCCATCACTAGCATTGTCGTAGATATGCTATCTCTTCATATGATTAACATGTTTTAAAATTTTTAGCCATGAGAACTTCACAATGTTTGGATGACATTTAGCTTTAAAAAAAAAAAAACTTGCATGTATCATTTCTTTCATACAACTCAAAAAATTAGCTGTAGCAGTGGGCACATAAAATGTTCTCTTTATGTCGTGCCACATTTCTTTAATTTTGTCCCCCCATTTCGGGTCTTGTTCCCCTGTGTCTATGGTTTCCTTTCACTGGTAACATCATGACAAATTTATAATTAACAAATGAGTACAAAGATCATGGCACAGCTAATAGCTAATATCAAACAACCAACATTAATGGGTTCTCCAAGACACCAATCCTAAATACATATGATCTGACATAAAAACTAATGAAATAAATTTCTGAATTTTCAATTTTAAGATTCAGTTCAGGAAAATCAAAATGGGCAATCTAGAGTGGTAAAATAAGAACTTACTATAAGTCAACATATTACGATGTCTCTAATTATTTAATAATTAAAAAAAAATACTTGAGTGCAGATGATAAAGCTTCCTCAAACAATACAATTCAATTTAAACAAGAGAGCTTTTGGATTGACAATTCAGATTTCCACTCCATGACAACATGAAGAGTTTGATAATGCATGCCACATCTTGTGAATTGAAGATAAAGAAAAAGCTTCTGATTTAGCCACCACCTATAAAGACACAACTAACTTTGACGACATTAAAATGTGAGCGAATAAAATATCTAGTAAAACAGCTACATGTCAGAATTGCAACAACTATGTTAAAATTTCTCTCTCATATTTCTATATATGGCCATGATCCTCTGTCCCTAACATCCTGTCCCCCGCTCTCAATGCACTCCCAATTGTGGTGGGAATCTCAAGACATGAGAATATAGAGGAACCATCATACGGCTGGGATTCATTAGTGCATTAGGAGAGGGTGAGATGGATTTTGGGACAGAGGATCCAAACATAGATATATAAGAATGGTAAAAAAAATACAAATAGAATCCAATATAGCATAATCTTTTATATTGAAAAAGAAGTTAGAATTCCAAAAGGTTAATAGAGGTGGTAGTGGCAAGAATAGAGTGACAGTTGACGATGGTGGTTATAGAGATAGCAGTAATGCAATGACAATAAGGAGCTCGCACAGATGATGGTGATCGGTAGTGGAGGTGGGGATGGCAGTGAGGCATGCTGGTGGCGGCTGCGGTGGCGGATGGCTGCAGTGATGGAGAACAATGGTGTTTAAAAGTGTAGAAATGTTAGTGGTTTGCAGCACCAGTGATTGTGGTGCCAAAAGATAAAGTGGTAACTTTGGTGCTGTCCTCAAGTGTCACTTCATTCTCTTTAACTAATGTTTTGACTTGGAAATCCTTCTCCCCTCTTTCTGAAGTAAAAAAATTCAATTATGGTACTGCACAACCAGATGCGGAAGGAACAAATATTACTCCACACAGCATTACCTTTCTTATTTCCCCGCAACCCTTTGGTACATGCAGCTTTTCTTTGAAGTAGCAGTGAAGTATCAAAAACTGACGTTTCAAGTTCTTTTAGCTGTTATTTTTCAAAACAATGATGTTTTAGGCTTGAATGGATGTAACGATGTTCAATGGTCTGGTTCTGTGTGGCTATGAAAGATGGCAACAATAAGGTAGCAATGATGCAGCTTAATCTAGGCAATGGAAATAGATGAATAAAAGTTTTCAAATTTCAATTCTCAAAATCAATATCAAAAGTATTTCTCAACTTTGAAAACAGCTAACATCAAATCCCAAAATTAACAAAATTACTTAACCAAGTCCCAAACATAAGCCTAAATACAAACAGTCTTGCGCTTCTGCCTCACATAGGTGTGAAAGGCAGGCCTCTTGTGATCCCCATCGTAACTGAAGTACACAACAATGGCTGTGAGGTTGTCTTTGCTATAAAGGCATGATGCATGATCAACGAGTTCTGTAGCACACTGTTGTGGGTTGTGATGTTGCCTCAGCTGATCACGAACAATGTCTACTGCTTCCTCATTTGACATAACATCCCAGACTCCATCACAAGCCAAGATCAAAAACTCATCCTCCTCGGTTAACAGGATTCTGTGAATATCTGGCTCCGCAGTGAGAGGCGAGGCAGACCCAAAAGGACGTTTCAGATGCCAATCTCCAAGAGCGCGGGTCACTGCGAGTTCACCATTAAGGTACCCAAACTTGATGGTTCCACCCAGCTCTTCAACCCTTTGTCGTTCTGGCAAATATGTAGGCCTGTGATCATTAGAAATCTGCAATGCAACTCCATTCCTACAGAGAACAGCACGACAGTCGCCAGCGTTTGCGATTAGAAGATGCCTGCCAACTACTAGGGCAGTGAGGGCAGTGGTGCCACAATTGGAGGAAACATGGGAGGAGTCGTCAGCCAGGGCAAGGTCAGCACGCAAAAAGGCTCTGCGATGAGAGTCCTCCAACTCTTTCAAGAAAGAGTCGTCATCGTCGGTATGAGGCAAATCAACATCTTCAAAGAAAAATCTCATGGCATTGTCCTTGAGATAAGTGGCGGCTTCAGAGCCGCCATGACCATCGAAAACAGCATAGAAGGAGGCATTTGGCAGAGGCCAGGTATAAAGAGAACCAAGGTGGGAAGAAACATCATCAATCAAGAGATGTTCATCCTCATTCCATCTGCGGGGTCCCACAGCTGTATCGCTACCCGAACGAACAATGATCATAGTGGGGGTGGTATAACAAAAAAACTGATTCAAATACAACAAAGCTAATAAATAACAGACAAGACAAAACAATTGCAAAAAGAAGAAATCATCGAGAATCAAATCAAACCCTAGCACAGAATTCACACTAGGATCATATACAACACTTTTACTTTAACAAAGTAACAAAATTAAGAGTCAAATCAATCGAGAGAGATAGAGAACTAACTTGAATAGTATGATCGGCGACGGAGAAATAATCGGTGTCGATAGGAGGAGAAGGAGAGAAAGAGAGAGAGAAAGAGAGAGAGAGAGAGCGTTTTGTGATGGAGCACTGCCGTGTGGAGAAGACAAATATATATAGGTTTTCCCGTTTGCTCTTAGGCCCGTTTGTTTTGGCAGATCCAGGAAGGGTTGGAATTCGAATTAGGGTTGGAATTCGAATTCGGATTGGAGTTGAGGTGAGATTTATTAGGTGTCGTTTTTTTAAAAATTTAAATAAAAATTTGTTTGATAAATTTTTTATTTATAAATCAATGCTCTCAGTTTATAAATTTGGTCAAAAAATATAAACTTAAAAAATATGTTTTCATTTTGAGTTTTTAATTTTTTTTTTTTTACCACCGAACACTAGCCACCACCCTCCACCATTTTCCACCACCGTCTTCCGCTACCACCACCCACCATCCACCCACCACCCACCTGCCATCCACCCGCCACTCGCCACTACCATCCACTGTCTGCCACCTACCCGCTACCATCACTCAGCACCATCTACCACCACCATCCACCATCGGCCACCACCAGCCACCCACCACCACTACCGCACCAGCCCTAAATAGGTGTGATTGTATAAAATATTTCAATTTGATTTTTATATAAAATATACAATTCCCAAATCCACGCCTCTATTCTACCCGTGAATGATAGAGACGACTCACTACTAGAAAATGAGGCTTTAGACACGAAACTTTTTCACCCATTTTTTCATCTTCTTATTTCTCTGTCTCCGTCTCTCTTC